GATTCTCAGTCTACTATTCCTTCCACTGAATCACAAATCAAGTCCAAACTGAGACCCTCAAGAAATGCACTCCCTCATCTTGGGGAGGGGGTAAAATTTGGAACTCAAAATCTTATAAAAGTAAATGTTGAAAACTAAAAATAAAGAAAAAAATGTACTCCTTACCTCTAACCTAACCAATCTTAGTCCTACCACTCCTCTTATGAGTCCTCTCCTCCCATTAGGTAGGTCCTAGGATCATTGATTTACACCTGGAAGGCAACTTAGAGGTCACTGAGTCTAATCCCCTTATTTTGTAGATAAGGCACAGAGAGGTTAAGTGACTTACTTGGGGTCACACAGCCAGAAATTGTCAGAGATGAGGCCTGAACCTGTGTTCCCAACTCTGAGAACAGTTCTCTGTCCACTACACCTCTGTGCCTCTTCCCTTCTGATCTCCCCTTAAACACATTTACTTCTTGCTTGTTTTTATCTCCATGCTAAATTAGCTTCTGTCGTTCCCTCTGTTTGGAATGGTTGGTCTCCTTCCACCCATACAAATCCTACCCACCTATTCTGTGAGGCCCTCTGGATACTGACAGCCCACAATGACCTTCCTTCTCTGAAATCCTAGAATACCTAATTATAACAAGAATTAACACTTTAAGGTTTGCAAAGCACTTTACATATGTTATCTCATTTGATCCTCACAACAACTCTACGAGGTACATGCCATTATTATTCTCATTTTACAGATGAAGAAACTGAGGCAGGCACCAGTTAAGTGACTTGCCCAGAGTTACATAGCTAGTAAATGTCTGAGGCAGGATTCAAACACAAGTTTAAACTGACTCCAAGTCTAGCCCTCTAACCACTGTGCTACCTGACTGCCTCTACCGTGCCTATTGTCAACACCTCCCACATTAATACTCAGTTTTGCCTTAGGTGTTTCATGCAGGCTGAGCTTGCCTCCCCAACCACAAGCGTAAGGTTCTTGAGGGGAATCCTATACTTGTTTTTAAATTCCCAGCACCTATGTACTTCCTACCAATTTCCAACTTGGAACGCTTTTCCTTCTCTCTTCCTATCTTAAAATGCTACTCATAGGGGCAGCTAGGTGGCGCAGTGGATAGAGCACTGGCCCTGAAGTCAGGAGGACCTGAGTTCAAATATAGTCTCAGACCAAACACTTGACACTTACTAACTGTGTGACCTTGGGCAAGTAACTTAATCTCAACTGCCTTTAAAAAAAAAAGAAAAGAACAAAATGCTACTCATCTTTCCAGGCCCATCTAAAATCCCACCAACTCAAAGAAGGCTTCCTGGCCCACTCCAGCCGGCACAAAAATCTGTCCTCTTCTCTGAACTTCTGTTGCATGTGTTGCCTGTGCCCATAGGATCCCAAAGTGTCAGAATGGAAGGGACTTCAGAGATCACACTCCAACCCCCTCATTTTATAGATTTAAAAGCTGAGGGCCTGAAAGAAGAAGTGACTTGTCCACAGCCACGTTGCCAGAAAGTTGCAGAGGACAGTCTTCAAGCAATGTCTTCTGACTCCAAACCCAAGGGCTCTTTACATTATATCCTGAGTGCCTTTCTCATTTTTGGAGAGAGAGAGACAGACAGCGACAGAGACAGATAGATATAGATATATAGACAGATAGCTACAGATACATATAGATAGAGACAGATAGAGACAGACAGATATAGATACAGAAATAGGTAGATAATTAGATATAGATATAGATACATAGATAGACATAGACAGATACATGTAGATATAGATACAAAAATAGTTAGATATAGAAATTAGCTAATTAAACAGTATAGATACATAGATTGACAGATGTAGATAGATACAAATACATAGACAGATATAGAGAAACAGATAGATATAAAGAAATAGGTAGGTATTTAGATAGCTACATAGATAAACAGAGATAGAGAGATAAGACAGGTAGATAGAGATAGAGAGATGGGTGGATAGATGAGAGATGGATATACAATATCGATATATGCAATAATATATAGCCATATGCTATATAGAGAGCTGTTTGGGGAGCCAAGAAGACCTAGCAAGCCCTGTCTTTGCCATACACTGGCTGTGTGACCCTGGGCAAGTCATTTAACCTCTCAGAACTCTAGGAAACTCCCTAAAACTACAAGTTGCAGAGACAGTGTCAATCTGCCTTGGTAGAAAGAGTTCCCTCATCCTGGAGCTCCCTATGTCAATGAAATCATAGGTCCAGTTCCTATCTATCTATTGATCTATTATCTATGTACATAGATTCATACATGTGTACGTATGTGTGTATGTGTAATATCTTGTTCTCTACGATGAGACTGGGCTCCTTTGGGGCAAGAATCTCTTATACTTTAGTCATCACTCACAGTGCTTAGCCATACTGGATACATTTCTATCTCCCAGCTACTCCAAGCCTTTTTTACTGGCTGTCCACCTCTCCTCTGCCTCATAGAATCTCTTGCTTCCTCTAAAAACAGCTCAAGCACCACCTTCTCCCGTAAAGCCCCTCCTGACCCCCAGCTGCCAGAGCCCTCCCCGTCAAAATTTAGCTTGCATTTATTTTGCTTGTAATTTATATATACTTATGTACACTTTGTCTCTCTCCTTCCCCACTAGAATGAAAATTCCTTGAGGGCAGGGTCTGTTTTACCTTTGTCTTTGCATTCCCAGACTAGCACTGTGCTGGCACATAGAAGGCACTTGAATAAATGCTTACTGATTGATTGATAGTGGTTAACAGGCACTTAGTATATTCTTTTCCATTATTAATCAACATGTTTCTTTAGTGTTTTAAAGTTTGAAAACGTTTGTCTCAAACCACTCCTGTGTGAGTAGGTTGTACAAGTATTATTCCATATTACAGATAAGGAAACTTCAAAAGATGAGTGATGTATTCATGGTCACACCAAGGGAATAGGAAGAATGGAGAAAAAATTCGATCAAGCCCTTCCCTCCTCCAACAGCCTGGCTATCAATAGATTGTAAACTCCCTGAGGGCAGGGACTGTCTTTTGCCTCTTTTTTTATCCTCATGGAGAGCCATCTCCATTTCCCTGTTCTGGTCTCCAGTCTCCAAAATCTTTAGTCAGAGCACCAGAGACAGAATATTTTCCCCCTTAGGCAATTGGGGTTAAATGACTTGCCCAGGGTCACACAGCTAGTAAGTGTCAAGTGTTTGGTCTGAGGCTGGATTTGAACTCAGGTCCTCCTGACTCCAGGGCCAGTGCTCTATCCACTGCACCACCTAGCTGCCCCTAGAGACAGAATTTGAACAGAGAATTCCTGGGTATAAGTTCCCTGCTTCCATTCCTCCCCAGTGAAGTGTGTGATTCAGTGACAGAACAGATACTGGACTTTTCCCTGAATTACCCACCTAGCAGCCCCTCTTTCCAGTTCCTTTTTCCTCTAGCTGACTTACAAAGGCCCAGAAATGCTCCAGGCATCCAGATGCTTGTAATTTTGATTTGGCTTTACCAGTGATGGCTCGATAGATTGTGTGGCATGGACCTCGATAAACTAGTGTCCCCCAACCTTTGAGACACCTGTGACCTGATGAGGTCCTGAGATTAACTGCTCTTGTTCCCCATTCTGTAAAGATGCTTGTTGTGCCACCCACTCATGTCCAAAGCCCATATTTAATTAGATAGAGTACCATGTATCGGAAAGAGCAAACAAGTTAAGTCATTAAAGCTTTTATTAAGTGCTTACCATGTGCCAAACACTGTACTAAGCACTGGGAATACAAATACAAGCAGAAAGAAAGTCCTGGCCTTCAAGGGGCTTCTACTCTAATTAGGGAGGACCACACATGAAAGGCAGCAGAAAAGGGGTGGGGATGGGGGGAGAAGGTAGCCATGAGTTAGAGAGAGGAGTGGACCCTGTAGAGGAATGGAAATATGGCTGGCTTGGGATCTTCCCTTGCAATGGGGGGGTCTGGGAGGGTGGAAGCAATCAGAGGAAGGTGTTGAGAGGGGGTAGCATACTTCCAATATGGTGAAGTCCAAGGGAAGAGTGAACTTCCAGGGTGAGGAGGCTTCTATGGCCTTGGAGAGTCAGGAGTGGAGCCCTCCCCAGTTGATATCCTTGTCAAGAGACATAATAAGCCTGACTCCTACCCTGTCCTCCTTGTCTTTCCCTCTGGCTTCCAGGCCCTGGAGCAAACAGGACCCAGAAGAGTGTTATATCCACCTAAGGCAACAGTGCACATTCTGGGACTTGCTCAGGCTTCTGATGGCTTTACCAAAGAAACCTTAGTTTTCTTAGTTTCTTGCATGGTCACAGGAACATATTTAGAGCTGGAAGTGACCTCAGAGGCCATGGAGTCTAACCTCTTCATTTTACAAATGAGACAACTGAGGCACTCAGAGGTTCAGTAACTTATCCAGGGTCACACAGTGTCTGAGCTCCTTAAGTTTCAGCTTATTAAGAGTCCCTGGGACTCGAAGCCCAGCCTTCCCGACCCGAAGTTCAGTGGACTATTTACTAGGCCATGATACTACTTCTAGCTCACACTTGGTAAACATTTGTGGAATGAGATTGAAGGACTGAGAAAAAGGACCTGGGTTTGAAATCTGCCTCTATTGCTTATTATCGGGGACAACTTTGGACAAGTCAAGATGTTCTCTAAGCTCTGCTTCTGTTCTAAATCCTACCTTTGGTCCTATGAACCACCATGAATGCACCTGGGTCTTGTGGGACTTTGAACCCTCTCCTCAATAGGTGTCGGGGCAGTGGGAGAAATCAGGGAACATGACAGAACATGAACTCAGTGGGTCTTTCAAAGACTTGCCAGGGAGGTCCTAGATGGCCATCGAGAGAAGGTTTGCTAGGCAGAGATCCCCAGACTACCTGAGAGCTAGGCCAGCAGAACAATGGCTTGTTGTAGGCAGGAGGCAGGCAGGCAGGAATGTGACCCGGGGAGTTGGGCGGTGGGGCGGCTGCTGTGGCGCGGCGGCTGGGCGGGGCCAGGTAACAGCAACCAGCCCTTCTACCTGTCCAGGTGCCTCTCATTTCCAGAAGTGCTGCGGAGCCCACAACACCTGTATCCCGTTGCAGCCTGTGACGGGGTAAGGACCAGGGACGGGGGCATGGCTTCTTAGAATCTTCCCCGCGGGGACAGGTCGGGGCAGAGTCCATCCAAACTCAGCGGAGCCCCAGCGCAGAGGAGGAGGGAGTCCTCCGCACCCCAACACAGACAGAAGGCAAGATGAAGAAGAACCAGTCGGTGCAAGGGACCTTCAGCAAACTCTTTGGGAAGAAACATACGACTCCCACGACCACCTCCTTATATGCCACCAACCCCCCCTGGATCTTCACCCAGGAGGTCCCCGTAGAGGGGACCAGAAACTTTGGTGAGTCGGTTCTGGAGTTGGGGCCGGAAAGGGGAGAGCTCTGCCAGTGGGTGGGGCCAGGGAATTAAAGGGTCCCTCGAAAGCCCCCGCTGAAGGACTTGGCCCAGTGTCTTCGCTGCCATTCTCCCTGCAGAGATCTGAGAGGCGCATGTGCCCAGAGAGCGCGAGTCTGAGGCTCTCTCCATAGGCTCGGTGCGCTGTAGGGGAGACGTGAGACTCGGAGAAGAGGGTGGACAGGAAAGGGACGCGTTAGAACCTGTGAATTAGGGAGAGAGAGAAACTGCTGGGGAAGGGGGAGGAGAGCTAGAGGACTGATTACTGGGCTGGGCTCTGAGAAGGAGGTGCTGTTAGAATCCTGAGGGGTGTGTGTGTGTATATCGGTGTGTGCATGGAGGGGATCCCAAAGGATCCCAACGCAGGACTTCCTTCCCACTCCCCTGCTTGAGATCCCCACAGTCCTCTTTCTGGAGTGTTTAATTCTTCCCCTATGTTGGTTAAGTAACTTTTTTTTTAGTTCTCACAGTCAGAGGTTTTGTAGCAGGGCCGGTCAGTGGAACCTCCTAACCTCCCCACCCCCTTTGTCTTTCTGATTTGGAAGCGTTTTTTTTTTTTCTGAATCACTTTCCCTCTCCCAGCCTCAGTTCTGTCATCTGTTTTTTAAAAAAAAAAAAGCCTTTTACTAAATGATCTCTAAAGTTCCAACTCAATCAAAGAGAGTACCGAAGAATTCTCTTGACACCCCTGCCTTGCCATTACCCCTCACTTCAAGGCCCTGACCTTGCCATTTGCCCTGCTGTTGCTACATTAGGTCCAGGTTGGTCAGAGGAGCCACAGGGGAGCCAGCTGTTCCAGGGTCACCAGAGCCACTCTCTCTATTCATGCTGCCCCTCCCACTTTGGCATGTTTGGGTTTTCTATCAGTGGAAAAAGTCAATAGAGGTGGGAGTTGACTGCCCTTGGTGCCAGTGCATAGGAAGAAATGACTCACATTTTCACTTATTAATACTTACTTTCCCCCCACTTCCATCCCCATTTAGAGTCATTCTGGGGTCTGGATTTCTCTAATGGTCCGAAGGGACTCTCTTGGAAACAAAGGGGCTTGGATCAAGAGAGGAAATTTGTAGGATCTGGGAAGGTGGGAAAAGTGGTCATAAGATCATAGATTTAGAGCTCTAAGGCCATGTAGTCCACCCCCTCACTCTACAAATGAGAAAACTGAGGCCCAGGAAGTTTTAGTAACTTATCCAAGGTCACCCAGGTCCTCTGACCCTTTCCACTTCACCCCCCTGCTTCACTCCCTGCTTAGCAAGGTCAGAATGGACAGCCATCTAAAAAGGAAGAAATTAGCGGACAGTTCAGCCAAGTCCCAGGGTTTGGGCTGTGTGTCACCTTATCAATCCATCTCACTGCAATTTGCACTTCCTCTAATTTGGGGGAAATGGAAAGTGGAGGGGAAGAAAGTTTGGTTGTGGGCCAGTCACAGATGAGCTTGTGTCCCTGGAAATATAGCAAGGGCAAGCTGAAAGAACCCCACTTGGGGCCCCTGCACTCACTGCACACTGGCTGGTTCTAGTCTCCTGCTTCAGGGATCCTTTATTTACTACTAGTTTATGTCAGTGGCAGTAGAGTTTGCACTAGTGGTGGGGTCGGAAGACCTGAGGAATCTATGATAGTTTAAATAGAGAGAAAAGTTACGTGGACCTGGCCCCTGACATTGAGGTATTTACAAGCACAACCTCCCCGCCCCCTCCCCCACCATGTGAAATACAGAAACAAACTCTGCAAATGTAAAACATACCCCAGATCTTTGCAGTTTATGCAGTCAATGAGCAAAGAGGGCTGGTGAGGAAGGGATGGGGCAGCCATTATGAGGATGAACTCAAAATGAGCATCCCTCATCTGTAAGATGATGGAGTGGGACTGCTTTACCATTTTCCTGACCTTGAGCAAGTCACATGACTTCCCAGGACTCAGTTTCCTCATATGTATCAGGAGGGAATTCCACCAGATCACCTCTGAGTTCCCTTGTCCCTTTAAATCCTATGATCTGAAGCTATGTGTTTGGGGGAGGTAGAGCCCAAGGTCTGTCCTGATACACCCTGTGTGTTCATGTGCCAGGCAGAGCTTGCAGGACCTTCTTGGCTCTTAATTCAGTGGGATTGGGAAGGAAATGGGTATGAAACTTTTTTTTTTCTTTCCGTATCCTCATCTAAGCTCTCTGAGCTCTGAGCTGGGCAAAGCAGAAGGCATAGGTAGGCCGATAGAGATTAGCCAAAGGTAGCAACTGCAGAGGAGGAAAAAGAAGGACACATTTCTGCCTCAGTCTTCCCTAACACTTAGAACCTAGTGAGGGAAGTGGAACCCTGTGGAAGAGGGAACCCTGGATGCAAGAGGTGGCTGGTATCCTTCCTAGGTTTGGGCAGGGCCAGGAGATCATCAGGGCAGCTCCCTCTCCCCAGGGCAGGGCCCAGGCACACAGCTGACTCAGCCCGGGCTCATCCCAGCACAAGTAGGGGTGGAAAATAAAGCGTGCATTGGGTAGTTGGTTCTCCAGGGTTTCCTATGTGCTGACTGAGTTGGAGGTGCTGGGTACTGGTGGGTGTGGCAGCTGGCCCTCCACCCTGTCAAACAGGAATTGGGGTGGGTGGGTATGTATGGCATGGGGGGTTGGGGGGAAGGATTGTGTATATTAAAGCCCAAGTATGAAAAGAATGGACTAGGAGTCGAGTCCTAGATTCTAGTACTGGCTGCTGTTGACTGGCTCTGCGCTTTACTCAATTTTCTCACCTCAAATGGGGCTAATATCTATTCTGACAATCTTCCAGAATTAGAAGAATCATACATTCTCACAATTGACTTGGAAGTACTTTGAAAAGGACTAGAAATTATACAAATGGGATTTTATTTCTACCACTCCTATCTAAAGATTATTTCCAGCATTGTTTGCTCAAGCTTTTCTCAGCTCTTTTTTCCTGTCTTGTTAGACACCAGGGGAAACTGATGCTGAGAGAGATGAAGCAACTCTCTCAAGATCACACAAATAGCTAGAGACTAGACCCCTCAACCCTCTGTCTGTGATATTGCCCCTGGAACCTGGGGTGATGGTGTTTGGCCTATTGGGAGACAGTGGTAATAGAGATGTGGTGGAAAAATCAATTTGGGGAGAAGGTGCTAGGAGCTTGGAATGGATTGGGGAAGTCCTCACTCTCTTAACCCCCCTTAAAATATTCTTAATATTAGAATCCTCTCTTATGGGCATAGTTGCCTAACTATCCCTGGTATGCCCATTCGACCCCTTAACTCTAGGTAAGATCTCCTGTCCTAATGAGTCTTGTGGAAGGAGCACTGTGTTTGGAGTCAGAAGATTCCAGGTGTGAGTCATGACTCCCCACCCTTTACTAGCAGTGTGACCTTGGGCAAATCCTTCAACATCCCTGCATCTCAATTTCCTCATCTGTAAAATGGGGTTAATGTGAATAATACCTTCCCTGTCTACCTCATAGGGCTGTGGTAAGGATAAAATGAGATAATGGATGGGAAAGCACTTTGTGATCATAAAGCACTCTTTAAGCTCTTGTGTTCTTAGTTGTGATTCTTCCTTTTAAGTCAGGCTGCTCCCTTACTTCCTGAAGACCGGAAAGGGAAGTTGTGCTCACCAGAGTCCTCTCCATCCCTTCCATCATCACCCTCCTCCTTGCTCAATAGAGCTATACTGTATGCATGTCAGCCGCCTGGTGGGTGACCACCCACTCTACCCTGACTTTGAGACGGAGAAGCAGCCTTGAGTATCTTTAGAGAGTCCAGAGTATGGGTCTGATTCCTGGTTAACTTGTGTCTGGTAGATGGATGCCCAGGACCCAGAGATAGCATAAGCATTATAGGCTAATGGCTGTAGGGCTGGAAGGGACCTCAGAGGTCATCAAATCCAACCTCCTTAATTTATAGATGAGGGAACTGAGACCCACTGAGGTTAAGTGACTTGCCTAAGGTGACACAGCCATAAAATATCAGAAGGGGGATTTGAGCCCAAAAGCTCTAATTCCAGGGCCAGTGTTCTCTCCTTTATGCCAGACTTAGTCCCGCCCCCACTGTAGGTTTCCTTAATACCTCTCTAATTGGCTTGTACCCCAGAGCCATTTGGCTGAGTGCAGTAGAGAGGAGGCCACCACCCCATAATCTCTGCAGTGTATATCTATCATTATTGTTCTTAATGTTCAGATAATATTTTACACATGCTCTCTCATTTTGGTCCCACGTCAACCTAGTACAGATATTACTATGATAATATTAACAGCAACAATAATAATGGCTAGCATTTATATAGTAATTTCAGGTTTATAGAGCACTTCATATAGGTGATCTCTTCTGATCATCACAATAATCTGTGTGGTAGGTGCTATAATTATCCTCATTTTACAGATAAGTACACTGGAACTGAAAAGTAAAATGACTTGCCCAGTATCGAACAGGATTTGAATTCAGGTCTTCTCAACTCTAAATGCAACATTCCATCCACTGTATCACCTGGCTTCTAGCTTTTGTAGATTAGGAAACGGAGGCTCATAAGACTTTCGGAGGGTTGCACAGCCAGCAAGTAGCAAGCAGATTCCGGGATGGAACAAAAGTTTTTTGCTCTTTCTCCTACATCTTATTAGAGTTGGGGTTCGAAACCATTTTTTTGTGTTGTGGACACCTCTGGCAGTTTAATAAAGCCCATGGACCCTTCAAAATAAAGTTTTTCAACAAATGAAGTACATAGGATTACAAAAGAAACCAATTATATTGAAATACAATTATTAAAAAATATATTTTTAAGTTCATAGCCTCCTGTAATAAAGGATTAAAGAAAACCTCGAAGAGTACTTGGTCTAGGATTCGGTTCTTGTTGGGCCTCTGGAGGTGCATTTTTATAGGTGGAACTAAGCTAATCTTCTCAGCCAAGACCAGGTTGGCACCAGCAGAGAGGTTGACCTGTGACTTTCTTTCTGGGGGTGTGAAGGA